ACCTGCAGCATTGTACAAGGAGAAACGGATAAATATTTGTCTCCGAAATGGGTTGCATGAAAGAATATAATTCCTTGTTCTATCATATGAACTTTGATCTCATTCTTTGAAAGATGCGACGACGCCACAATGAGGACTATCATGTTTGTTCTCATATTGGTATACTTGGGCATCGTGCAGCACACTCTCCATCAATCCCTATTTCCTCGAGTTAAATACGATTAAACACTTCTTTGACTCAGCGGAATAAAGAATCTATAAACATCTTGGTGTCATCCAAGCAGTTGAGCGGCCGAAATCGAATGACGGAAGTTCGTTTGAAGCAGCATACAGATAAATCTCAGTAGCACTAGGAGCACTACTCAGCTCGATCCACAGCAATGAGGACTTCTTGGTGGTTATCATTGATAACCACCAAGAAGTTCTCATTGCGCATAACTTATCAACGTGCTCAGTTGCGTGCTAGAGAAGGCGGTGCTGCAGAGTATACGATCTGAATGCGAAGATCAAGCTGAACATGAACATGTCATGTTCAAGTCACATATTCTTCGAAAATGTTGTGGTAGTGATTCATGTTACAAACTGTCACTACCGGTTTCTTTAATCACTTAACCGTTGAATAGAAGCCTTAGACATGCACTTGACCATCTTGTTGTCAAAAGAGGGCGGACCTCATCACTGGAAACTGAACAAAGTGACCGGGATCATTGTAGGAACCTTGATCTGAATTAATTGACAAATATGATTGAATGAGAACAACAGTCGTAGGAATCGATCGTAGCTGATCGTTTTGGTGGCGGTCGAGATTCATATATCTGGTGCGAACGGGTCATGTGTGACACGCCACGTGTCACTGCATGGAACGGGAGCTACAACGTATCAATGGTGATTGGTGATACAGGAGATAGAGAACATAGACATTGATAAGCTATCTACTTCAATTGAATGGTGTCACCTATCACCGTTCTGAGACAAAAATTAATTTAAATTCTCTCCATACCATTTCGTTCCGAATGTAGATCGATCTCACATATATAGGACCTTGTAAGCTTAGTTCATCGTCTAAGTCTTAGTATCTACGGGAATCCCTTGAGAGGAGTGGTATAAAGTTGCCTGACCCACATGACGCCGTAATGTGCCCCAGGATCCCTGGGTGAGTGCTAGTGTCCCAACGTCGAAACGGTAACGAAGGATTGCCACCCACCCAAATTGAGTCCTGACTGAGGTGTAGCACAGATGGTGTGACAACTCGGTAGAGAACTGACTTGATCGCCTGCGTCGAATACACCGGATCCCATCCGAACTCCGAAGTTAAGCGGCGCAAGGCCCGGATAGTACTGGGGTGGGGGACCGCCCGGGAAGTCCTTAGGGTGCTGCTGGCTTTTTGCAAAAGTCGCACATTTTGCTAGTTCCCCCCTCCCCACCTCCTTGGACATTGTTCCACTTTTCACTTGTATTGTGAAGCACCCAATGCTAGCCCACATCACAGCCCAGTAGTTCAATAGAGAGACGAGTGAACATAGTTTATAACATTGTCCAAGGGGTGGAGGGGGATGCGCGAAATCGATGTGCACGTTTGGTCAAAGATGCTCGCGAAAGCTGCACATCAATTTCGCACATGGGCGAAATTGACTTGCAGGTGGGTATAAAAGTTGATGTAGGCCATGTGGCTCGATTTCAACCATATGGGT